CCTCAGAGTCTCAGTGCTTTATGGCGCATCTGTTGGTACTTTTTCCGCTATCGAAAAATTTTCACTACACTTGGACTGGATGAACATTTGACGCTATATCAGATCGTAGCAAGTGTGTTCGGTAAAATGTTACTCATAGTAGTCTTATAATCGTTTCACAAGGGATCGATGCATGACAGACAGAGATGGTCCAGCATCGGGCATAAAATGAGCGATAAGATAAATGAAGTCATTGTTTTAATAGAGAATACTGCCGCATTACAAGCAACATACCTTGTTTCGTTGGCTCCGCTATGGGTCTCGGTACACCCGACACGGACTTCGGTTCCGATGACTTTGATGCACCTGAAAGAAGACAAACAATGTTATTATCATCTGAGAGAATTCATAAAAAATAGGAATAGCCTCGTATCACGATCAAATGAAGTATTTTGTTGAGATTTGAAAATAAATAATTCTAGTTGGTTCATGGATATTCGCACGCATTCCTCAATCACGCTTGCAGATGATGAATTATGCTCATATCAAGCCTGTACATTTTCCCTTTGCCATTAACTCTTCTGTTTCAAAAAGAGGATTTTACCTCGTACTGTCACTTATCAGCGTCTTGACGATGTGGATGTACCTCTGCAACTTGTCTTCATCTGCACCCACACCAAAATTCAATTATGATATCATTTTCTATGCCAGAAATAGTAACATCGTCTATGAAGAGACACTACTCATATACCTCGCATTTGGTCTTAGTCGAAGCCGTTTTCAGTCGCTAGCATTTTTGTCTCTTGTCGACAGAAGGATAGGATACTGAATGGCATATCTCGAATTTCTTGAAAGATAAGCAATAAACCTTTCCAGATGACATAACTGAGCGCAGTGTACATTTCTAGAGATGTCAAGCTCTCTACGAAAAAGGATAACTCAAATAATATGTCGCTGATTGATATCGTCTTTTGATCATTTCAAACTGCAGTATTGAATTCTTGGTGGTCGTATCCAATGCTTCACAAATCAGGCAAACTCAGGAACTTTTTTTGTATCCCGATGAAGGAACAAGATAATCTTTAATCGAAGGAAGCTAGATGATTTCGTCTGATCTGTGAGACAAAATTTTCTTACAGTAAACTGAAAGAACAGTTGAATTTAAACGATGTTAAAGAAGATTTGAAAAGTCATCCTTTCAGAAAACTTCTCAATTTTCAAAATGAAAAGTTGTATTCAACGAAAGAATCTTCAAAATATTAAACTCATGTGTTAGATATAACCCTAAATGCAATACCATGGATGTCATTGCACTTGAAGATACAAGACCTAGCTTAACGTTAAACTCAAGCCCATCACTAGGTGCATCTTTTGTCTGAAAACAATTTCAAACATATTCAACTGACTTGGATTTATATAAAGATTCAATGATGTGTTGAACAACTACTCATCAACACTAATTTCCAGTTTTCAAACATCTAAATGATAGGTTCTCAATCCAGTTGTATAAAATTGGAGCCTAGCAGAAAACTTGAGTAACATAACAGGAATAGCTATTTACTGAGATACTCGGTATCACTTGCCGTTTTTCTCATTACAGCGAAACGCTTTAAAAGTCCTCAGAAAACTGAAAACACTTTCCAATCATATGTGGATTAGAACGCCCGAATGAAAAAATTATTGGCGAGATAATCCACACTTGCTCGCAAAAAAAATGCAAACTCAAGCTATTGACTGTATATATCTTCTTATTTAGTCGGTATCAATGGAAATGTAACGGTTTACCGAAGTGTCAAACAAAAGATTCTGAAAATAGAGACCTTGATGCATATATTCATTGTAACGATTTATTTTTGACGTTTTTCAAAACTTCAACTTTCTGAATGGAATTTTCTACAAAAGAAGTGTTATTTCAAATGATGCATATTCATAATACACTTGAGAAATCATGGAAAACCAGGTGATCTGAGCATCCTTATTTTGAGTATTTTTGTTCTTGTGTCTGTTTCGATTATAGAACAATTGATATTCAAGCTTGCATCTGTTTTATTTTCTACGAGTAAATTGAGACGTTTTTTCTTTATAATTTTGATTGTATCATTTACAATGACAGTGTTATATTACAAAGTCATATGAATATGGGCTTCTCAAAATACCATGAATGCGCTGCTCATCACTCAAACAATACTAAATGCGACGTTACCTACATGTAGTCGGTTTTGTAAGTCCCATCGAGACACGAATTTCCGTTTCTGCACAGTACGAGAGGCATTAGTGAAGCACAAGTGTACCAACTAGACACTATTCAACGGATCTCCCTCAAGTGCTTCTTACTAGAGCTACTGGACAGCTTATTTTTCTATAAGTGCTTGAGTAAATTTCTAAAATTAGCACTGATATATACTCTTCTTAGGAAATGGTTTTTTGCTAGCCGCTGAAAGTTAGGACTAGCACCACATTTCAGGTAGCCAAGCAAGAGCCAAAAATGTGTGTATATGGAGTTATGAATAGAAACACTGGTAACTTTTTGAAGATATTCATCAGAACATCTTCAACAGAAGTCGGACGGTACTGTGGGTAATAGTTTCGCATCCTTTTTTTAGAATGGAGAACTAACTGTCAAAATTCAAAGTCGGTTCAACGCGTTTATTTGAAAATAGGCTAGCTTTTCCAAAGTATCAAGTTCTCATACAGGGTTTCAACTCTTTTGTGCCAACTTGGTTTTTGCATTACTTCCCCATTTTTTATTTCCAAAATTGGCTGTCGATTGTTTTCTCCGATAACATAAGTTTCTTTTTTCGCTCAGACACGAAACAGATAAGGTTTGTTGAATATTACAAGTGTTTGAATATCATTTTCACACAGATTCTACAACTGCAGAATGTGTGTCCCAACGATACTCGAACATGAAACAGGTGTTTAATGGATTCTCGTCGTTTTACAATCGTAGTGAAAGAAAAGACTGGATAATTGATTGAATAGATAAAGAAAAATGGGCAAGATTGGACCTAGTGACCGCATAAGGAGCACAACTTTTTGGCTGTTTCTGTAACCATGCCATGACAAAAGCATGTCAAGTCCACGAAAACCAAAATAAAAGCGAAATTATGTGAGTGAAACTTCAGAGGGCGAACGTTCAAAAGCTGGATCAGACTCGAGACAAACTTTATTTTCTTTAACCGGACGCCTTTCAAATCCAAAGAATGAAGCACTATACGGATTCAGTTACGTTAGTTCTTCTATCGATAGTGCACTTCCCAACCTCAACATTCCCTTTGAAGTAATGCGTGTCGCAACGTTTTCTTCCAGTAATAAATCTGTAGCGTGAAAGCATCTCCCACCTGATTTCTTTGTCGTTTCAGTCGTGGATTCTGCTGTAATTTTTAATTTGTCGACTTTGACCTTCATTTCATCGATGTTTTTGGTAGGTTTCTCTTTTTTTTTTTTTTTTTTTTTTTTTTGTAGTCACTAAAGAAGATAATAAAATTATCATCAACATGAAGAAAGATAGCATTCTGTTTCTTTGTGCGATTATTAAATATATGCTTTCTATCATAACATCATCTTACTGACGTGTCTTATTATTTCTTGCCGCCTGCCGGGGATGTCACTAGACATCCACAGGGTTTGACCTCTGCTCTCGGAAAGAGGATGGCGCCCCTGGGCTACCGGTAGCCAATGTGTCTCTTCTCTAGGTTAGCCACCTATTTAAGGGACGATTAAACTTGCTGGCTAATGAACAGGATCAAAATCAGTGCATAAATGCACGTAAAACAACGTTCTTCGGAGGATGGAACGTTCGATCATGTTTTCGTCGATCAAAAAAAGAGCTGATAGTCAAACAGCTTAAGAAACACCGAGTGCAAGTAGCTGCACTTAGCGAAACAGCAATGTACGATTATGGTACAACAACCATTGGTGAGTACACTTTTATTTTTTCAGGACATGCAAGCACAGACAAAACTCGTTCAGCACATGGAGTCGCCATATGCCTCAACAAACAAGCGACCACAGCGTGGAAGAATCTCGGATCAATCTGGGAAGCCATAAATGAACGTATTGTGATGGTCCGGTTAGCATGCAACCCAATAAATGTCACTGTGATTGCAGTATACGCTCCTATCAATCCAAGTGCAGACACCTCAAAAACAGATTCTTTTTACAATGATTTGCAAAATACCTTGGACAAAGCACCAAACAGCGACATGACTCTCATAATCGGAGATTTCAACGCACGCGTAGGTATACAACAACACATAACAAGCAGAAATGTAATCGGTCCGCATGCTGTAGATGAGATAAACTACAACGGTGAACGTCTAATCGACTTTTGCTCCATCAATAATCTCATCGTATCGAACACCTTCTTCAAGCACAAGCCCATTCATCAAAAAAGCTGGATGCACCCTGGTCAAAAGACTTGGCATATGCTGGACTACAATCTCGTCAATAAACAATTTCGATCAAGTGTTGAAGACGTACGAGTTCATCGTACAGCAGCAGGCGCAATTGGTACAGATCATCACCTGCTTCGAATCAAGCTAAAATTTCACCTAAAAAGCAGAAGAAAAACAACCAAAAGTCAAATACTACGTATAGATCAAAAGAAGCTCAAGAATGAACAATGCAAGTTGGCCTTTCAAGCACAACTACATTGCCGCCCGCAACTGCAACAACAACCAACATCTTCGTCAACAACAATCGATGACAAATACAACGCTTTTGTCGCTTATGTACATCAAGCAAGTAAAACAACTTTCGAACTAGATAGAACCAACAAAAAGCAAAAAGATTGGCTAACTGATGAAATTCTGGATGTTGTAGACAAAAAATCAAAAGCATTTCTTAAATGGCAGAATTCTCGTGGAACATATTTAGAAACAAGATGCCGTAATAGCTATCGTCGACTTCGCAATTTAACCAAGAAGAAAATTGATGCAAGGCAGATTGAGTATTGGGATGAAATCAGTTTGGAAATTGAAAATGCAATCAAGCAGCATGACCCATCAACTGCATACGCAATGATACGTCGTTTAAGAGGAGGTAAAGCAAAAACTGAAAATTTACCAATTTTAGATAAACATGGAAAACTTCTAACTAATTCAAAACAAAGTTTAACTTGCTGGAAAGAGTATTTCAATGATCTCCTAAATGTACCATCTCATGTAGATCCAATAACAATTCAACAAATCCATGCAGTTACAATAACTACAACGGAACAACGACGACAAGAGCAAACACCATCTCTGGAGGAAGTCCAACGCGCAATAAAACAAATGAAAAATGGAAAAGCGCCTGGCAATGATGGAATCTCTGCTGATCTTATAAAAGCTGGTGGTCTACCAATGGCAAAATGGTTGCATGAGATTTTTGTGGACATATGGGAAAATGAAACAATAATTGAAGATTGGTCAACAGCAATCCTGATTCGTCTCTATAAAAATAAAGGCGATAAGAAGGTATGTGATAACTATCGTGGTATATCTCTCCTCGTGGTGACAAGCAAAATCTTCTCCAGAATTATTCTTAATCGTGTTCAAGACCTGCTCGATAAACAACTACTGGAAGAACAAGCTGGTTTTAGATCCAATCGCTCGACAATCGACCAAATATTCATTCTCAAAATGGTCATGGAGAAGTCCTACAACATCAACAAACCTCTGTCTATGTGTTTCGTCGATATCATGAAGGCTTATGATTCGGTAGATCGTGATCTTCTTTGGCAAATTTGTCGGCACTATGGCCTCACTGACAAAATTGTGAGAATGCTCAAACTACTATACAAGGATCCAAAAGCGCAGGTACGTATCAATGGAGAACTATCTGATCATTTCAACATCAACTCAGGAGTTCAACAAGGTGGTATTCCTTCTTGCATTCTCTTTAATGTTTTATTCGACTTCATCATTAGACAAGTCATCGAGCAAGCCAAAATTCTCGGTATCAAAGGGATCAAATTAGCACATGGCAGCAACGATTTTTATCATCCAAACAGCGATCCATATGATAATTTAGATATTCTTCTTTTAATATATGCTGACGATCTAGTGGTAATGTGCGAAAGCGGCACCGATCTGGAATTGTTTATTAAATGCTTTGAGCAAACCACCCAAAAATTTGGCTTGACAATGAGCGTGAAAAAGACATGTATCATGACGCTGAAACAATTGGAACAAGATCTATTAACAAACAAGGTCACCAAAAACAAACAAATTCACAATGCTCAATCGAAGATAACCATCCGAAATGAAATGATTGAAAACGTAAACGATTTTCGATATCTCGGGTGTTTTTTTTCAAGAGATCAAACACTTGACAAGGAACTTGAAACTCGACTAGCCAAGGCTTCAACAGCGTTCAATATGCTACGTCATGTTATATGTGTGCCGAGATAGGCACTTGTTCTATCTTAGTGAACAACTGTGTGCATAATTATCCCTGTATGTATATCTTGTCTCTCCCGTGTGTTCTCTCTCTCTTTCTTTTCTCTCTCTGTGTCTCTTTATTTCTCTCGCTGCTTCTCTTCTTTCCGCCACGGTTGATTGACTCGCGTGGAAAGGAAAGAGAAATATAAAAGGAATGGATAGATTGAAATAAAGACAGTTGAATACACGATATCATATTTTATCGTTACATGGCGACCCTGTCAAACTGAACCTAAATCTTTTGATCGAAGAAAACGTGGTGAAACAATAAATAATAATAATAATAATATCAATTATGGCATCTGAAAAAGTAACAGTTGAACAAGCAGTTCAAAAGTTATCTGAAGTAAACATCAACAATAGTGCACGATTGAATAGTCTGGAAACAAAGCTGGCCGAAATACATGACAATTTGATTGATCAAGGCAAAAATACTACGGGTTTACCGCAGGAAATCCTTAACCTGCAGGAAAAAATGACCAACCAGATAGAAGCTATTCAATCACAAACACAAGAATGGCAAAATGTGACAATATCAAAGTTAGAACAAAAGCATCAAGAACTGGAACAGCTGACAAGCAACCTTCGAGACATGAAAATGGAAATACAAAAAATTTGTGAAGCTATTACAATGAAAACAGTAGAAAAAAGTAATCTCAACCAATTAATAGAAGAAAACACCTTGACACCTCATACACAACGAAATTCATTGACAATAGACGAATCATTTAATAATGACCAACCTGATCGACAGCATCAAACAACAACAATTATTATCCCACCATCATCGTCAATACCAACGTTTAGTGGAAGTATCATGGAGAATCCTCGTCAATTTCTTATTCGAGTCAAAGAATATGCAGAAACAATAAACCATTGGAATGAACAACATTTACTTAAGGGCATCTCACAATTCCTTAGAGACACAGCCCTCGAATGGTACTGCCAATTAGGTATTTCAAATCGACGTCCACAAACTTGGACAGAATTCAATGTAATCTTTCTCAACCAATTCAATTCACCAATTCGACGAGCACATCAAGAGCAGCAATGGAAGAGCTGTAAACAAGAAGAAAATGAAACAATCAATGAATTTATTGTTCGACTTCGGGCCCTCTGGCAAGAACAAAAGCCGAATGAAACAGAAAGTGATCTCATTCGACACCTGCTGTGCAAGATGAGAAACAATTTATTAACAATGATCGGTATATCTCGATGTGAATCACTAGACGAGATTATTTTAGAAGCTCAAAAAATTGAAGAAATACTCTACCAACGAAATAAACAACGCCAAAGAACTGATTACGATGACGTATTACACAATGATGCACCAACAACGTCAATGTACAATAACGAAAATCATCACGAGGTGCAAACAATGTCGACACATCAAATGAACCGACAAACAAAATTCAACAATAGAAGAAATTTAACATCGAACAAGAATACGAATGATTATGTGACAACTCGACAATCACATCAATCAACACATGCAACGATTAACCAACAGAGCGGATACCCATCAAACGAAGCAAAATGTTACATGTGCGGACGAAAAGGGCATTTTAGAAGAAACTGTCCATATCAATACAACACCTATCAACACCAGAATTCGTGGCATTACTCAAAAAACGACAATGGAGCACAGGGTGGACGGGCCCATGGCGCTCCAATGTAAAATATCCCGTTCAACTATCCGCCGAAATTCATACTATGAACATTTATAATAATACTCCATTAATATTACAAGGTATGATTGCAGGAAGACGAACACAACTACTTATCGATTCTGGAGCATCGCTCACATTAATTAATCTTCAATTCTTTCGACGATTGCCACGGTATTATCGTCAAAGAGCATATCCCCCTCCATCCAATTTATGTCTTCAATTGGCGGATAGATCACAACTCGATGTTAAATATGCATTATCACTCCCAATAACCATCTCCAACTCAACTCGTGTACATAAAGTCTACGTGGTCCCAAAATTATGGCGTTCGTGTATTATTGGTAATGATATAATACGTGAACACAATCTTCAAATAGATGGTGGACAACAATATGCATACTTCAAAGCGAAGAAAAAAAATACACAGCTGCAACAGGAAAGAAAAGAAACAATTAAGAACGATGATGAATATGTGTTGATTGCCAATGAGCGTGTCAAGATTTCACCATTTCATGCATTTAACATTGAAGTTAAACCAAATAAACCATTCTCAATTATAGAAGAAGATGACAGAGATGAATATGAAGTATCATCAATGAAAGAAACTCCACGTGTAGCCAACGGCATTATTACACCATGTGAACACATGACACTGCAGGTGGCTAATCTAACGGAAAGAACGATTATGATCTATAAAAATCAGCCGCTGGCGACAATGACTCGTCTTAATCAAATTCAATTAAATATGATGCAACATGGAACAATATCATCAGCAACAAAACAAACGACGTCAAAAACAGACAGTGATGTAAGTTTAATCAACACTGATTTAGACGAACAACAAAAAGAACAAATAAAACAACTTATTCAGCAATTTCCGGATGTGTTTAACGAACAACCAGGAAGAACAAAAAAAACACAACATCAAATTAATTTAGTTCCCGGGGCACAGCCGTTTAATTCACCACCATTTCGTTATGCACCAACAAGAAAGCAAATAATCGAGCAGAACATAAAAGAAATGTTAGATCAAGGGATTATTTCACCATCAACAAGTCCATGGGCATCACCCGTTATATTAGTTCCAAAGAAAGATGGAAACTTACGTTTCTGTATTGATTATCGAAAATTAAATGCTGTAACAATTCGTGATGCATACCCACTTCCAAGAATAGATGATACATTAGATTCATTACGACAAGCGAAATTTGTATCAACACTCGATTTACGCTCCGGATACTGGCAAGTGGAAATGGATCAAGATTCAAGAAAGAAGACCGCCTTTGTAACACATAAAGGTCTATTTGAATTTAATGTTATGCCATTCGGATTAA